CGTTTTCTATATATTATTATCATTATTTTGTAATTCTTATTAAATAATATAACAAGAGAGAGAGAGAGAGAGAGAATGTATATCACATAACATTTCCCGTTAAATTTTTTTTATTATTTGTTTTTTATACGCAAACAGTAAACACATGTGTACGTGCGTGCATGTGTGTATCATTTTATTTTAAAACATTTTTTTGTTAAACATATCTTATAGTAATATTATCTGAAGGTTGATACACGTTGCTAATTTCATTTTATTGGTCAATTAATCTTCCTTTATACAGGGTGAGAAATGTTTATATATATATATATATATATATAAGTTATATAAAATGATGATGATAATAATAATAATAAAATAATTCAATTAAAATATAATATGTGTGAGGAATATAACATAATATACAATTACACCAATGTACACATAGGGAATGTAATTATTTTCTTTTTTTTTTAACAAGACTCGAAGGCCAGTTTATTTTTAAAATAAATAAATAAATAAATAATAATTATTTGTGTGTGCGTAACACACACACACACACTACGTAACTTTTTATTTGGGTGAGGAGGAGGATAAATAATTTTTATATTTATACATAACTCTATTATAATATTCTACTATAAATATATTTTTTGTTTGTTTCTATTTATTTGTTTTTTTTTTTTTTTTCCTAGAAAGATAAAACATATCAATGGATAATGTGACGTGTACGTTTCTTTTTATTTTGCGATAATAAAATAATACCTTTTGCATGTTATTATACAACGGATACGGTATATCAGCTAGCAATTAAACGTTAAAATATTTGTGATAATAAGATAATTAACATTTTTTTTTTAAATTCGAAGAAGAAGAAGAATTTACATTTATTGTTGTTGTTGTTTGTTTTTTTTTTCTTTTTTTTTTTTTTAAACTAGAAAATGGTACAACAATTTTCAACGTTTACTATAAATTATTTAAAAGGAAACGTTTATTTTCATATTATATATTCAACGCAATATGTAATAATAATTTCAACTATTTTAACAATGATTATTGCAAAATGTAATGAAACAAAAATATATATCATTCAACTATGTTTCCCTTAAAATAATAATAAAAAAAAAAACAAATAAACAAATTTGAAGTACCCTCGAAAAAACGAGCAATTATGTTACACGTACTATAATTAAATAAATCGATCGAATATATATGTTTTATTTCTGTTTTTTCTTTTTTTCCCCCCCCCCCCCGTTTAATATATAAAATGTCCGATGTGTATATATATATATATATATAAAAAAAAAAGAAAGAAAAAGATAAGAAAAACAAAAAGATATTTAATGATTTATCCAGAAACAAAAAATTATGTTAACTCAATAAAATCATTTATAATATACGATGTATAAATTATTTCACGAGTTGTTTAAATTATGAACAAGTAAAAAAACGCAAATAAAAGTTTAAAAAATATCTATCTCGTTATCTTTGATAATAAAATATTTTCATTTGATTAACGTTGAATTCACTTCTGATGCACGATTTGATTACAATGTCGGTGGTTTTATTTTACTGATGGTATCGATGTATGTCTCTGTGCGTGATGGTGGTGGCGAATGGAAAAAAAAAAGAAAAAAGAAATGAAATAATATTTTTAAGTAAAAAAGCCATAAAATATGCCGGTATGCTGTAACACGCGTGGTATTATTTGCCAAGCAATTGCAAAAATTATACTCGTTTGCCCGGAATAAAGTTAACGTGTAATATAACGAGTGAGAACAACGATGACGATGAAGATGACGATGACGATGGGAACATACACTATCCATGTAAAATTATTCATAATTTCAAACACACCAAAAAAAAAGAAAAAAGAGAAAAAAAAAAAAAAAAAGAAAACGAATGTTCTTTCGCAATTTATCTTAAACGATATTCCTTCGTTTCGTCATCGTATTATCATTTCTCAACCTTGAATTGTTCATTTCTGTATTAGGTTTTATGAAGAAAAAGAAGAAGAAACAAAAATACACATAATATACATAATGTTTCGCAAAATTATCTGGAAAAAATAAAGAAAACATTTGTTAATAATATATTCATAAGTTTGAAATTAAAACGGGTTTAAGGTACATCGGATGTATGATATAAAAGAAGATTAAAAAGAAAAGTAATAATAATAATAATAATGTTAATGCAAAACCGCGATATTATTTTTTTTTTTTTTTTAATATGACCTATATAAATTATTAATATATTTCGTTGGTACAAATATATATATATATATATGTATG